TTTGGTTTTGGGGAGACACAAATGGGTGTCTACATGAGGGATCCGTTTAAAACAAGTCAAATTTAAATTATTTCAAAATAATACAATTTTTAAGATATATTTACTTTAAACAATTTATTTTACCTACAACTTATGTAACCGGTTATTTTTTTATTATATATAATAAAGTTGTTTAATAGTTGTAAGAAAATAGTGCAATTTCACGTGTTCCATATAAGTTATTCATGAGATAACTAATCGGTTATAACTTGCTTATAGCGAATAGGCCTAAAAATATAGTATTATTCAAAAGTAATTAAAAGTTTGACTTGGATTTGGCGGATTACTCAAACTTTATATTGTATTTGATAATTTCTCTAATTTTAAAAGGTAAAACCAAAAATTATTAAAGAAGAGTGTCGTGGAAGTTATTGAAAACACTAAGGGTCCATCCACTATATAACCCTAGCATGACTCGTCCCCTTGTGTTCCTAAACAAGGCCAGCTTTGACATGTTCAATTCAACATTGAAATGAGTTCCATGTCTAAGACAGATTCATCTAGTTTCAAACAAGTAACATGTGACCATGGTATACCTGCTAAGATTTCAAAGGCCAAAAAAGGTCCAAACGCAGGAAAGAAGTTCCACGGTTACCCATATTGGCAGGTTAGAGTCGTACCTTAGATATATGTATCAATTCTTCTCTTAAAAATCAAAGTGCTTAAAATATGTAATTGTTTTTTTTTTTACACAATATTCAACAGGATGAAACTAAGGACTGCAAATTCTTTGCATGGCTAGAGGATGAAGGAAAACAATTTGGAGATATGGATTCCATGATGGATACTATGCAACTTAAATTGGCAAAATACAAAAGGATTAATATACAGTTGGCTCAAGATGTGGCAGAATTGAAGATGTATGTGGACCAAAGCGAAAAAGCTACACATGCAATTGAAAATCGAATCAACACAATTAGTGCCAGAACACATATGCTGCTCGTTCTTGTGCTCCTAACCTGGATTTGGGGTTTAATGTTTGTATGGGTCAAAGCGTAAAAGGATTTAATTAATTAATTTTCTAGAAATCTACAGCTTAGCTAATTACTACTCTCGATGTTGTATTAGTTATCCTTGTGTTTGTCTACCTAAAGTTTTTAGAATCGTGGTTGTTATTAGTTACGGAAATTTTCACTATGATATAGCAATCGTGAGTAAGTATTTATTATAAAGCGTATTTAATTATGCCAAACCTGTGTATTTAGTGGATATAATCAATCTAGAGAGACGACAATTTTATAAATCAAACACCATTACATAAAAGAAATACATTACATTAACCATAAAATTAAACTTAACAAACTACGGTTCTTAAGGAACAACTTAGCATATTCGAAAACAAATGGTAAAAAAACCCATGGTCATAATGAGAAAAGTCAATTCTCGAACAACCGTTTCCGAGTTTCAATAGGTCCCTACAGTAAAAAAAATACAATTGTTAGTGAAAACAAAAAATAAAATATATTTAGTTTAAATTTAACCAATGATAAGATTGATAACTTAAATATAATCCTATAAAACCAATTATATAGTATTATCACCTATTTGAATTTTAAAAAAAAGGACAACAACTTCGAAATCTAAGTTACGTACCTGGAAGTACATATGAAACTTAACAAAATCAGTGTAAGTCCGCCTTTGATCCACGGAAATTCTATCCTTGCACCAAAGCACAACAGCACCCCCACATAACCCTTTTGGGCAACTAAAAGCAAAGCGGTATGAACCTGGTAGTCTCCTAACCATTATAACAGTATTCTCAAAGCTAAGCCTAGTCTCCACCAGAACTACAATACCAGGCTTGTAACAATCGTACAGTTGACGAAAGTGGTCCATAAAAGAAGGTCTAGCTAGTCCACACACATTCCAACATACCACTATGGTGCCCTCTGGCAAGGACACACAAGGATGACGGACAGCATATGGGGCACCATGCTGTGTAAAGACTGTAAAATCGACTTTATGTTACCTAAGTAGCAAATCAGTCTCATTACGAAATGATACCCATAAGTGAAGGACATGGGGGTAAGAAGGGGCTTTGAAAAGCTAGAGTGCATCGGTGTAAGTACCAATGCATAAGCGAACGGGGAGATTATCAAGCTGCCAAATAGGGGCATCTAAATCTGTAACAGGTTTCGGATCAAGAACGTGAAGGGAAGGCCGTATTATAGGTGGTTCAAAGGTCCCTAAAGGCCCTAATTGTAGGCACCATTTCAGAAATATTTCAAACTCATACCTAATTGGATAAATGTCAACGATGCTAGGTAGATGTGCGGGGGTTGACACACTATCCCCCCAAGCTTCCTGCATCTTAAGGTCGTTAAGGGTGTTATGATCCGGATGAGAAGGATTAAGGATAAGAACCTCTACGGTCTCAGGAGCTAATACAATAGAGGCAACCCACCCATGAGGTTTGTACAAATATTTAACTAAGGTGAAGTCCATTTCTAGCTCAGAACCAGAAGGAGGGGTGAAGAACATAAGACCATGGGTTCCTAAACTGGTTGTACACCTTCTAGCCATTGATTATTCTAAACGGAGGGGTTTGGGAAAGGAGTGAGTTTCATGAGCAAAAAAATCCTCCTTATATAGAAAAAAAAAATTGGTAGATTGGCGGTGCATCCCAATTAAGCAAAATGGTCCTACCATTCAACTACTACCATACATTATGCATATAATCATTTTAATTATTTTATATTTTAGAGGGAAATTTCCTAATTTCAAAACACATAGTTGTGAAGCTGGTAAATGAAAGATGAATCAGAAACAAATGTTGAACCACGTATTTTTGAAACCCCATCATATCGCTCTACCAATTAAAAACCGCACCAAATTGCAAAATTAGATGAAGTTTGGTGCAGTGCGGATTGTGGTTTAACCATATTTAATTATAATTATAATTATTCTTTTTTTAAAAAAAATATTAATTATATACTTTAATTATTAAATAAAAAAATTTATACTTTTTTTTATAAACCATTAATTAAGTATTAGTAAAAAAATTGCCTACTACATTTTAGTGCTTTTAAATAATCTTGATGAAAACATAGGGTAAAAATCACACACCTCAATGAAGTGCGGTTTGGTCTCAATAATTTCAGAAACCTCACCAAACCTCATATCACGGTTTGGTCATTATGCAAAAACTCCTCCCCATTTGTGAAGCTAACAACTAATTTTGCGGTTTGGTATGCAGTTTGGTGCGGTCTAAACTGCACTCTGTACAGCCCTACAAGCCATATGTTTATTTTTTGGTTATTTAGTTCAATGCACCCCTAATCAATTTAGTTCATCTCCTAATATCTTTCTATTATACATTATTCAATTCAATTCACTTGAGTTTATCTGTAATAAGTTCAAGGAAACTTAAGTTCATCAGTAATAAATTCTGTTCATTTCAGGGTAGTTCAGCTGAGTTAAGTAAATGAGAACCGGACGTAATTCTGATTTTTCCTATCCCATTGTCATATGGTTGCAAAACAACTTGGATTTCCGACTGCATTCTTATTTGAAACATAATTAATAAGTGGTAAGGTAGACCAAGTACTAGAATATGAACTTAGAGGCATTAATGCCTAAATGTTACTTTGCCTAGTTCCTATTATGAGAGGGGAGACATATATTAATAATTTAATTTTAAGTCATTATCCCAAAAAAGATGCGTAACACTTATTAAATAACACTTATTTGAACACAAGGAAAATGTTGACCAACATTACACGATTTTTGTTATTGGTAGACCAAGACTTGTAAAAGTGTTAGGGCATGCCTAGCATTGATAGTAATACATTAAGACCATCATCATTCATGGTATAAAAATTTATACACTCCTTCTCTATCTACCGCTTTCTACCAACACATATGAGAAAAGGAATGGAAAAAAAAAAGGTCCAATGATAAGAAAAGAAACAAAAGATTGAATAAGAAGCAAATCACAAATTTACAATGGCAATGTGACTATATTATATACCATACGTCCATAATGGCAAAATAGAACAAATAGAGAAGTAAAATTAAAAGGAAATAGCAAGTAAAATGGAGTTAGAGTTAATTGATGTTGTGCTAGGAATGGAAAAGTAAAAAGGTCCAATGGTAAGAAAAGAAACAAAAGATTGAATAAGAAGCAAATAACAAATTTACAATGGCAATGTGCCTATATTATATACCATACGTCCATAATGGAAAAATAGAACAAATAGAGAACTAAAATTAAAAGGAAATAGCAAGTAAAATGGAGTTAGAGTTAATTGATGTTGTGCTTGTAAGAGAATAAAAACAATAGTCTTGGTAAGGACTCATAAGTTCATAACAAGAAAGAGGAGTCAATGCTTACTTGGCGTATTTTAAGCATAACATGAGTGTAATTCAAGTTTATTGTCACATAAAATAAGAGGAAAGTGGATAGTTTAACAAAAATATTTACCAATATGGCAACAGATTGTAGTTTATCAATGTATTGAACTTCATTTGGGTATTTCATCAAACACCCTTACGTGCAACAAAATGTAGCTAGGTTTAATTATAAATAATAAAAAATCCATTTGGTAAAACACATATTTAAAAAATTTGTAAATGATGATTAAACGGTAATGTATTATTTAGTCAATGTAATAGCTAGTTTTTTTCCTCAAAACAATAAGTTGTAGCTACTTTGGGAATTTCATTTTGAAAATAGCCATTTAGGTAAAAATTTTGTCTAAAGTAGCTATTTAGGCAAGGGTTCCGCAAAACTAAGTTACTTCGTTTAATAAAACGTGTCACTAGAAGTATTCAAGTATGTGTAGGATCTTAAAGTGAATCGTATGCATATACATACTTGTTGGAATCCGGACCTTTTTTTAAGAGTTTGTGTAGTTGTCGGTAACGAGAGTAGATAAACTTCAATTTTTTTTGTAATAATTTTTTCAATTTACAATAATATTAACTACTAGATCGAGTACAATTTTATGCCAATATTACAATTTTGATGCAAATGATGATAATTTATCAATAAATCGGGAAATTTTTCAACAACATTATTTTAAGCGCCACGTCCAATGTAAGGGGTATTTTGTCAAAGTATACTGCATACAAAATATAAAAAATGACAAAAGAACTTTTTCTGCTAAAAATAAAATTTGCATGGTGGGTTTTACCCAATAGTCACTTCAAAACAACTTTACACCTTAATTGAAGTCCCCTGTTGGCACCCTATCCGACTTACCAGCCTTCCGAATCATCTTCATACTCCAGACCTTAATACGCGGAAACGCACCCCACTCTATGGGAAATTCTATTCAATCGGTCCAAGTAATATATCTGCACTTATTACAATAATTGTTAAACTTTAATAGTGATTGATATCTATTGTTATTGACACATAGGTAAATACAGTCAATGCAAACATTTGTTAAATAATTACATGCACACTTACCACTAAAAACATTGCACATCCCCCGCAACCCCCAGCAAAGCCATTCGCATAAAATCGACGACCAAAGTTATATACACTATCCATTAGTTTGGACAACACTAGGTCACATCAATCAAAATCACATGTATCCATTACACAGCCAAGCGTTGGTAGCAAGTCAGATGCTAATCGTGGTGATTGGGTGGGACACAAAACCATTTGTAATGCAATAATCAAGAATAATGATATGAATTCTTCATCCTCATTGGCCTCAAAATTCCCTTCAAGTCTCTCCTTCATCGCAGAAGTCACAGGAATGCCAACCGATGTATAAACCAGACCACGTTCTCTACATGATTTAGTCTCCCATGTTTTCCCATATTTCAACAAAATTTGTTGTGCCTTCCCGCGAACTTCATCTTTCATAGTTTTCAAACAAGGGACGGGCTTCGACCCACTTGGGATACCTAGAATCCATCTAATCTGATTCTTTGACAACCGATACTCCCGACCTTCGGGAGAAATGAATCCTTTATTAATTGGATCAACCCTAGTCATAAGCCAATATGATAACTGCCGTGGTAAATGTATACCACAAGCAAAGTGGAGTAGTCCCCCAAATCCCATTTCATATACCCACTTTGTCCTCCGATCATCAATATTTTGACAAATACGCCCAAATGACTCTATACGACAATTCATATTTGGTGGCTACAATAAAAGAAATTATAAGTACTCTTTAAATAAAAACTAACAATTGCTCACCCTAATCATGGTGGATAGTAAAACCATTAAAAACTCACCCTACGACTACAAGCAGAATGTTTCCTAAGTACTTCACCTTTAGCTTTCACAATTCCACCCACACTTAAATAATTGTCCTAAAAATCATTACCAAAAATATCAGTACCATTTAGGGAATTCTGACTATAAAAACAACTACAAGACTACAACCCATCCTACACACCATGTTTTTACCTTGAACAAGGCAGGATGTAATGGAAGTAACTTCTGACCAATGTCAACAGAAAACACCAGCAAAAACACACTATCATTACAACAAAATATACCACAGATGGGAACACAACTACTTGTAACACTACAATTGCAATACCAGTATGGTTTGTTTGGGCAACCTTTCAAAATCTGGAATTGTCCCAGATTCCGTGTCCCAATCAATTTCATACGATACATATAAATAATTCTTGAATTATAATTGAAGGTTTTTCCCAAACACTTGGTGAAATTGAAATGATAGAACATAAATTATAGATTTCGGCATTACATCCTTTTGGGAACTGAATTTCCGAGTACATAATTCTGATTAATAGTGGCATGCACATCTTACAAAAACATTATTTGAACTACTAACCATCATTCATAACCACGAAACTAGTTATTAAAATAAACAATTCAACAGCAAAATCGCTCAATCTTAACAATATTGGCAATTCAAAACACCGATATTTGATTTACACATTCAGAAGTCCATGCAATTAACAATAACAATTAAACCAATCATAATTAATAGGGGAATTCGCCGCACTAGGGAACTACATTTTTCAAATATTGCGATTCAATTTTCAATTCACATAGTCAGATTAAATTACTACTCATAATTCATTTAAAAACCTCTTACCAACAAACTTACCGATTCATCCGTGCCTCTGAATTCTTCAAACACGCTTGTGGCGTCGGAACACCTCTTTCTCTTAACAGTAGAGATCTCAAACATGACTTCAGTAGCACACAACAAGAAACAACTCTTTAACTCGCACTCAACAGCCAATAAACGCCTCAATTCCTTGCCTCTCGCCGCCCACGAAAATTTTAGTGTTCCTTTGTTTCTGGAAATTTTCTCCAATTGAAAATTTTTGAATCAAACCCTAACGTTTACTACCGTCCTTTTTCTCCGTTTATCTACTTAGTTACGACGTTTATTACAATTACCTTTCTCCGTTTATCTAGTCACTACGTGATGTCCACATAATATATTGCTGGGTGCTGAATGTGTATGCGAAAAGACGATGATACCCCTTTGATTTGTTTTGAAGGTTTATCAATTTGATTAACTTGGATTTTCCAATTTTATATCGTTGGATAGATCTTGAAATTATCTTTTCAATGATATATTATAATATTAAATCCGAGCTATAACAAAAAAGATATGAATGAGATACAAAAGTCTATCCAAAACTGACACCGTCCTACTATTTCGGCCATATTTTTTTTATCTACATAATATTTTAATCTGATTCTAATTGGGTTGGAAAGTAGACTTCAAGATATTTCCAACGACATATTATATGCCTTATTTGGACACATAGATCAAAAGATATGAGAAAAACAAAATCTGTAAAAATTGTTGTCCATCGAGTTCTATTTCGATTCGAATTCGGATTCTCTTCTTATTCTTCGACCCTCATTTTTCTCTATAAATATAGGTCATATCTCCCCTTTTTCAATCATCAATTTCCATCAACAACTTTTCTAATTCTCTCTCTAAGCTAAAGCTTGTACTCTCTCTTTTCTAAACCAACCCTTTTGTATACAAAACTCCGCATTCATTAGCACTAGACACACCTAGCATAATTCGAAGTTGCCTTCGCCCTAGATGTGAAAGGTTTTAATTTCTAGAGTTTGGTCCCAAATATCTACTTCAATTATTTAATTTAATTGTTTGTTTATTATTTTCCTTGAAGTTACTAACGCACGTATTTTGTTATTAGAAAGAGGTACGAGACATCCAAGTAAGTGCTTTAATTGATTTATTGATATTATGATATAGAAATCATGTTTAGGTTGTTATTATGATTCCTTATGTCATGTTAGGGTGTTTTGATCTTCCTAGTATCATGTTTAGGGTAACAACTAAATTTTCCTAATATCAAGTATGATTAAAAGTATGATGCTTCCTATTTCTTTCCTAATATTCATGTTAGTATCATGTTAGGGTTAAAGCTTTGATTTTTTATGTTTAGTGACATGCTAGAGTTTGTTATTAATCTTGTTAGTATCATGCCTATGATCTTGCTATTAATATTATGCTTTAACATGATTATTTTAATTATGATTATTATTATTTGCTTGATATTTATTGTTATTGTTTGATCACACCTTTTATGCATGTTTAAAGGGAATTTGTACTTGTAATCATGCTTAATAAGATAATTAATAATCTTGTTTAGAGTTAATTTGATTATAATTCAAGTGATCATCAATAATAGTTTTGTTTGTACATTAATATTCAACCAACACAAATTAAACAAGTTTAGGGTAATCCTATTGATTGAATGTTAGTCAGAAAGCGCACATGAATACGAGAAGAATAAAGTATAGGCCTATTATTAGGGTAGGTTCAATCTCTTTTAGGTTGGATTTGTACCTTTATCCCCAAACTACCAGTCATGGTTCTAGATCTATTGGAGTTGACGATCTCCTGGATCGTTAAGGGGTGTAACCTTCACCCTATGAACGGTTTACAAGTTCCTAAAACTTGTTGGAGACTCTTTTGCTCTAGCTTCCTTCCCTTTGGACGCCACCGTACTGTAGTGTATGATCACAGTGGGGTTCAAGTTTGGGGTAATGCTTGAAATATTCCCTACACTTTTTGGCGACTCCACTAGGGAGGATTTCTATTTTAATTCCTGAAATTTATTTCGGCAATGATTTAGAATGAGCGGATGAGACTCGAAAAGTTCTAAGTATTTCATGTGCGTAATATTGACTAACATTATTGTCATATGCATAAAAAAAAGATCTCATTGGAAAGACCATCCGTGATGAGTTAAAAACATAGGATTTTTACACGTAGGAAATTTGAGGAATATCTTTCACAACTAGGACCGAAATAACGTTGCGCGAAACTGGAAAATTTTATCGAGCACAGAAAGCTGCTGAGGCATGTAGGAACTAGCGTCAGGAAACAAAGTCTAGCGCCACTTATTTGACTTTAGCGCCAGGCGACAGCTTCTGTCGCCAAGCGTTAAAGCCAAATTGTGGCGCCGGCCTCTGTTTTCTGGCGCCAAGTTCTTCCAATACCGAGCCAGAAATATGCGTTCTAATTTTGACCAGTTTTTAGCACTGTTTGCTCGATCCTACTTCCTGATTGAGTTTTTCTCACTTTTCTGAAACCCATATGCACTAGTAGAAAAAAAGCATTAGGCACCCCCCATATGGCACCGGTTCAAGCTAAACCGGTGCCCAAAACCGGTCTAGAATTGGGCGGGATTTTACCAAAAGAGAAAAGGCACCTGTTCAGCCTGAACTGGTGCCAAAAATAAAAAAGGCACCGGTTTGAACCGGTGCCATTCAAACCGGTGCCATTCAAACCGGTGCCAAATTCAAAAAAAAAATGCCGCGTCTTTTTCTCTTTTCTTCCTCTCTTTCTCTTTCCTTCCCTTCATTCGTTCATCCCTTCTTTCGTTCTCTTTCAGAGTATTTGAAGTGCCTCCACCTTTTCCCTCCACCACAGCCGCCACCTTCACCAGCGCGCACCGCCTCCACCTCCACCTCCATTCTCCCTGCCCTGCCCTTCTCTGTCTTTCACGGCCGGCCTCCACCGCCCTTCTCTGTTCGAAACAAATAACAACAGCAGCAGCGCGCACCGCCTCCACCTCCACCAGCGCGCACCGCCTCCACCTCCACCAGCGCGCACCGCCTCCACCTCCTGTCGACCTCCACCAGCGAGGGTCTTCCTCATTCTCTCATCCCCTTAGCTTCTTCCACCTCCAACTAATTTAGGGTAAGTTCATCTTTTCAAGTAGAGCAAATTGGTAGATTTGTTATCTATCTGCTTAGATTGTATATGAAATGCGAAGAAAATTAATGGGTTCATCTTATTTTAGATTAAAATTGTGCTACATTGTAACTTGAATAGATTTGCTCTACTTGTGTGTTATTCAATGTGGGAAGTCTATATGATGGTAACAAGCATTTTGAACAATTATTGTTAAGAAAATTTTGAATACATATTATACAATAGATTAATTTTGCATTACCTTGTTCCTTAGTTGAAAAATTTGTATGTTTTAATGGGTTATTTTGAGGTTGATTTAATGAGTAATTATGAATATAATAGAGATTAGTAAAAATGTTACTTAATTAGTTGAGTTTTTGTATGTTTTAATGTGTAATTTTAGGTTGTTTTAATGGGTAATTGTGAATATATTAATAATTTCGCATTACCTTGTTCCTTAGTTGAGTTTTTGTATGTTTTAATGTGTATATTAGTGACCTTGATTCTAATTAGTTGTGAATAAATTAGAGAATTGTGATTACATTATAGATTTGTGAATAATTTAGAGAATTGTGATTAAATTAGAGAATTGTGCATAAATTAGAGAAATAGTTATATTGCCACTTACTTAGTTGTGAATAAATTAGAGAATTGTGAATACATTAGAGATTTGTGAATATATTAGAGAATTAGTGACGTTGCTAATTTTTGTTTTTTTAATATATAGATTCATATGTGAATTGAAGCACGAGTTTAATTAGCTTGAGGACTACATATTGAGCTCAAGTGGGTAGTTGCTATACTGGTATGACTTATAAACTTTACTTATTAGCTATATTTCTTTCTATTTATCCATTTAATAAAAGGTGATTCATGAAATTGCAACTTGTGTATTGTTTAATTGCAAATAAATACAACAATATATAGAATACTTGAATTGCATCATCATATGCCTAGATACCCGTTCAAGGCTTTATCATTAGGAGAAAGTCTTGAAAAGTCCCCGGTTGGGACTGTTCTTGAATGTGTACTCTCACTTAGGTGGTGAATGTATGTTTTCTTTTCGATTTTAAGGAACATCTTGGCTTACCATTTCCTCACTATGTTCTCTGGGTTCATATGTGGGTAATTAATTATCTACATCGTGTACTTGGAGAACTAGGGGGAAATGCTGCCGGATTTTCCTTAAAATTGGAAAGTTGACATACATTCACTAGTGAGAGTAGACATTCAAGGATGGGTTAGGTTGGAGTGATAAGGACCCTTTGGAAACATGCATTTTTTCACTATATGAATGGTATATTCACGTTTTGTACTTGAATTTGATTTACATAAAATATGTAGCACTTACACATTATAAATTATATGTTGCTATATATGTTTATAGACAATTTACTAAATTGAGAAGGATCGTGGTTGGATGTATGGTAGACGCTATACATTGGAATTTTGGAATGGGGTTCAAGAGTTTTGCGAGAGGGCTTTAGCTTATCAACGCAAACTGGGAGGCAAAGGCCTTTATTGTCCTTGTGTTGATTGTAATTGTGTGAATGTGGTCGATAGTGTTGAAATCATTAGAGATCATGTATTATGTCGTGGGTTTAGGCAATTATACCATGTGTGGATTTGGCACGGAGAAAGTGGAGAGTACAGTGGGGATCTTGATCGGAATGATGTGCGTGTTAGAAGCACTGAGATTCATGTGGCAAGGAATACGAGAATGATGAGTATATTGTTGATAATGGTGAGGATGGAGCCGATGAAGATCAGGCGGATGAAGTCGAGGATGAACAAGTGGATGAGATGTTGCAAGGTGTTGAAGGTGAAGTGTTTGAATTATTATCGGAGGCTTCCAAAAAGCCTTTGTATCCTGGGTGCAAAAAACACTCCAAACTATCGGCCGTGCTAACACTTTTCAACATTAAGTCGAAGCATGGGTGGACGGACATCAGTTTTACTTCTTTTTTGACCGCATTAAGTGATATGTTGCCTGATGGGAATGAAATTCCTAAGTCTTATTATTACGCAAAGAAGCTCATGTGTCCCTTTGGTTTGGAGTATAAGAAGATACATGCATGTCCTAATGACTTTATTTTGTATCGAAATGAGTATGAAAACTGCAGGAGTGTCCACGATGCAAGCGGTCGCGGTACAAGCGCATGAGTTGCAATCCTGGCACGGAGGGACCTCCTGCTAAGGTGTTGTGGTATCTTCCCAT